ATGTAGTGTGAAGATAGTATAAAAATATATGAAATTATAATCAAAATTAATTTTTTTATTTATAATTAAAGTAAAAAAATGAAATGAAGAGGTACACGTGAATCTTAACAATATTTCAAAAGGTCTAGTTATTAATGCCCTTCTGTTTGTGTGGTGTGGCGTCTTCCTGCTGTAAAAACCAACAAATATCTCCCATCGCTGCTGAGTTTCATCTTTCTTGGTAGCGTTCTTCCATAAATCTAATATCTTGGTTAAAAAATCTCTCACCTTGCTCATCGTCATTTCAGGCCCAACAAAAATTCCCTCGTGTTATTTTGCATATTAAATTTTGGAAAAATGTATCTTCAATACTTGAACCCATCTGCTTTGTTCATCGCTTTAGCAAAATTGTTCGTTTTCTGAAGTTTGTCATGGAGTGGGGCAAAATAATACTTTCTGGTTCCACCAAAGCCTTGCATTTACATTTTCTTTGCCCGGGGTGAAAATATTTCTTTGGGACCACTCTGGTTTCATAGTGCTTTTCTCTTACTCTACTATCCAACACGCAAAGAAAACAGCTGTTTTTAGTAAATTCTCCTTGGCGACCTTGTAAAAATTATGACGTGCTATGGGTAGAAGTTAATTTGAAGTTACATTTATGTCCCGAAGCAAAACTAGGGGCCATCCCAGCATTTGCTCAAAAATCAGGGAAACTGAATGCATACCTGATCGAGATGAGGGTCATTGACCCAGAAGCTGAAGTACAATACATTTTACAGATTTCTTACAATTCTACAATCCAAATGATATATAATACATTAAATATCATTGTTAACATTAATATTACTTTCCTTTTGGATGCTCGGTATAGTCTTTAATTGTATAAAAACAGTTAGGCAACAGATACTATTTTATTTGAGACTTAAACTTTTGTTTGGAATGTAATCGTTTAATGTCATCTGGCACTTTTTTTGTAAAATAATGCACATGTAGTATTATATGTGAATTTGTTGTAGTGAGCTGTTGATACTGTTACCTAATGAATATAATTAATCCGTCGAGTGTTGTAGTTATAGACAACGGTGTTTGCTGAAAATATATTCCCATCCTTAAGTAAGTCATTTTTGACAAAAAACATTGATTCATATATCAAGAGAGAAGGTAATGGTAATACCTACATTATAAAGAGAGGTTTACAAGAATCACGTGGGTGGGATTTGCTTATTATTCGTACAATTATTCTTTGTAATCTAAAAGTTTGGCATAAGATGTATTTCCCCAGAATATTATGCCATATCTCAGGCGGGAATGAACACTCGCGAAATAAACACAACGATCAGTGTGGATGCTGACTGAATTTGAAAGAATTCTGAAAGCTTAGCATAAAGAACTTAATTTAGTGTTCAATTCATTTAAATGGACGTTCCATTTAAGGTTTGACCGAATTGAAATATGTATAAACTTTTGTTACCTAAACATCAGTTAATGGTACACCGTTCATTTTCAATGGAGTTCAAAGCTGTTTATTTAAAATGAAAAACTGCATTTTGAAAGATCTACAAATATTCCAATAGGTGCTTCGTTTTGATCCATGGATGGGGCGACGCCTTTAAGAAAAGCAAATATGGGGAGAATTGTTTTAAAAATGGATAATTAATTTACCTTACAACATATTGCAGAAACTTTGCCTAAAATGTATTTTAAAGCTCCTGAAATATTGCATTACAATTGAACATGCACTAAATATGTAAATGTTTAAAAAAAAACTAACTGGGAACATTGCACTGCCCTAGTTGTCATTATACGCTGTGTGATACTTCAATTAATGTAGCGATTTGTCATTTGACCAACATAAGGAACATTGAAAAACAATCACGCATTTTAATTAATGACAGGAATGGTAAACGAGAATTTAAAAATATATTTAATAAAATTGAGTGTATAACTCTGGACATTGGTTTTCCTGTTAGCCATTGTACTTGTACATTATAATTCTAATAATAATGGTTTTTGAAATGTATTTTTACGGCAAAGGGGTTCTAAATTGTTCGTAATTGTTATTGTTTAAAGTAGAAGAGTTCAAAACTCAAACTGTTTATGGAAATTGGTAACAATAAATAGCACAAAAATTGTACGGAATGAGTTTTCGAATAAATGTTGAATATTTCTAGGCCTTACAGAGAATTCGAAAATAATACATTTGTTGATGAAAATATGTTGGGTGTTTTCATATAACGAAGCTGCACATGCACATTTTCCACATTAGGCATTGAAGGTTGGCGCATTCAAAAGCATTTCGTTTACTGCTCGTACATCTATGCAATTCGGGTTGCATACATCTCAGGGGGCAACTGTGTAATTCCGTTATATGGTACTAGCTAAAGTATCTTTAAAGGAAGGTAGCGCAACAGATTCATCGGCATTGGTTCGTTAGTTTCAGCTGAAAGTCAACGCACTGAAAGTCTATGCTTTTCTGTCTATATATTAGTGTAGATAGATACGTGTTATACCGCAACCGCCCGCCTGGAAGCACTCCAGGCTGATCCCTTTCCTTTAGTAAAATGCCCAACTGAATCAGCGGTTGGGCGGTGCAGCAAGAACGCAAATACTTCTAATACGTTTTTGCCCTATCATTTTAGCTGCAGATTGTCAAGCAGGAAAGTCCATGAACCATACTCATGAACAGAATTTAATTACAAAAGCAACTAGTAAATTACTTATTCTTACATAGTTGTATGAAATGGTCTTGCACTTGATTTGGAGTCGAGTTCGTTCACGGGAAAGCTTTTTTCTCGGGTGCGGCGCGTAGGCGTTCCCAGGTCGGCGGCACGGGCAGGTGGGGGCGGCGGATTAGCGCCGGGTGGCCCGCACAGAGGGCGAGGCGGCGAGCGTCCACGCATGTGTGCATCACAACGTCTTCACCGGCGACTGGCAGGTGCTTTCTTTTGGAAATGCGATTGTCGTCGGGCGAGAATCGGCACGAAGAGCGCGCGATAATCATGCTCACATAGCGGTTAATAGCTATTTTGCTGTTGTAAACTCCTAGCAATACATACTTCGTGAGTTTGGACGCCGCGCCGGCGCGTGAGAACTCTCTCGGTTAGTTACACCGGGTACACCTTTACCTAGTAGACACGCAGCATCGGCGATGACCACTAGATCGGTCACTGGCAGATCTTGCAGCTTCATTTAACCGTTTACCCAACTGCTCTCGAAGTTTCAATCTAAAAGAAGTCGTAGGCTTCCGCGACTAGAGTCATGTTCGTGATCTGGACTGTCCGGGTGACGTCGCGTCGAAAGCTGTGTGGCCGACGTTTCGACCATCCTGTCGTGGTCTTCCTCAGGGCTGGTATGCCAATGCCGTCGTTGACATACTAGCCCTGAGGAAGACCACGACAGGATGGTCAAAACGTCGGCAACACAGCCTTCGACGCAACGTCACCCGGACAGCCCAGATCACTAAACATTCTCGACGTTTCAATACAGAAGACCCTTCCCGACCCGCGCGTATTTACGGGCGCTTCAAAATTCCTCTCTCCCACGACAGACCGCTGTCGATTCGTTGTTTTGAAATCATCTGTTCTGCGGGTGTGTTTCTCGGGCATGGAAATTCAAATCGCCGGCTAGCAGGCTAGCGTCGCTATTTCTTTGTTTTCCGGAATCGCAAAAATTTTAAGAGAAATCTTCGGCGACTTTTATCCCCAACGGCCGGACGTAAATTCCATGCGCGCACGCTTTTATATTTAACAAAAGAACCTAGGGTGCGGTGCGTTGACAGCGCCACGCGGCCAGCTCGTTGCGAAGCCCAAAGCATGGAACATGCACGAGTGCAAATTAATTAATAATATGACCATGGTGCAATGTTTAGTCAAAATATAGATATAGATGTCTCTTTATATGCGCATTGGGGAAAATTGATTATTTTCGATCTCTCATGTTCACGTTTATAATATTTATTCTAGAACACACCAATAAATTCAAAGACTTTAAGTAAAATGAGCATGATCATACTAGGATGATATTTTTTCGTGTTCCATCGGCGCGACGAATGGGGAAAAGAAAAGGGAGTGTTTTCATGCAATGTTGATAAATGGCAATTTATGCCCTCACAAACTACTTTAGTTTCTGTCGTAAGAAACGAAAATAAATTGTTTGAACTGTGTGTTGTTCTTACATCTCGTTGAGGTCAACGTGAAAGCTTGGATTCCCTGAGCTTTCACAGTTACGATTTGTGTTGAATTTTAGGTTGACGAAAAAAGATAAGATAACACAAGGATCGGTTCATTAGCAATTTAGATCTAATAAACTACTTTAGTTTGTTTTTCACAAAAACGATATAAGTCATTTAGACCACATTAGTGTGAACGTGAAAACTTGGAACCTATGAGCAGTTTACTTTAGCTCAGAGCCAGCATTGCCTCTGTAACCGCAGCGACTCCTGCCGAGAAGTTATAGGATTCGATCCCAAACGGGGGTGGGTTTTTGATCCTGCCCAAATAGTTAGGTCGAAGTCAGTCACAGTCTGGAGGAGGATATTCCTTGCCATCTACTTTGATCCGTAGTTTAGCGTGGTTTCTGTACTCCATGCCAAGTAAATTTCGAAGAAGTATAGTTTCAAACGGCCCGCGCGAGATCTTCTTCGTCCTTGTTCTATACTCTCCTCCTATGACTTGCACACTCACACACTTAGATCACTACACCCCCATACATGACAGGAGACCAGTGGGGGCTTATAGCGTGTTCCGGCTGCGGCGGAGGGATACCGCGGAAGCCTACGTGTAGTATCTGCTCAAACAGCGGGAGAAAAGCAGCGCCACCTTTGAGCTTAAAACATTCACTACACTAACGGAACTAATGTCCAGAGCAATTGATGTGCCCGGAAACATCAATGAATGAAGTGCGACTTGGAGCACAGGTTCGTCTTGTTTTAGAGTGCAGGTATGTTTATGACCAAGCCTGTTTCCCTTCAAATAACAGCGTAACGTTTCCGCGAAATCACTTGCCCAGTTTTTGGTTGAGCGTTCGTGTGCTGTCGGCAGATGGCGGAGGAGCAGGCGCGCAGCGAGGCCGAGGGGGACGTGCTGCCGTGGACGGTGGCCGAGTTCTACCGCGGGCAGAGCGTGCTGCTGACGGGCGGCTCGGGCTTCCTGGGGCGCGTGCTGCTGGAGAAGCTGCTGTTCTACTGCCCCGACATCGACACCGTCTACGTGCTGCTACGCCCCCGCAAGGGGCTCTCGGTGCAGGAGCGCCTGCAGAAGATGCTCGACGTCCCGGTCAGCACCGCACTCTAATGTTACAAACTTCTACTAGTACCAGTACCAGTAATTCTAATTGGTAGTACCTAATTCTACCTAATTCTGGTAGTACCAGTAATTCTAATTGAGGGATCAAAAAGGATCACGTTTTGCCAATAAAGATATGGTAGTTGATATCAAAATATCGAGTTGCAGATGAGAAAAAAGCCTTTAATTAACAGGAAATCTTTATGTTCATATGTTCGGCATTTCCCGTTATAAGGTAGTCAAGGAGATTTTAATGTGCTTAAGAACATTGTGTTTACGGAGTTGCCTAACAATTAGGGGAAATGCTACACGTGTAACTCCTTTGAATGAAATTTTACACTTAATGTTCATTGGCAAATATTTCAATCCCTCTTCTTTCCCTACAGATTTGTAGCGTTTATTCGGAGACACCCAAATATTGCTAGGTAAACAAATGCCTGCTCAAAGTGTTCCCTTGGAATGACATCGCTATTTCGCATAGATTTACATGATGCTCTTTTAAAACGAGCAGAAAACTTAATGTCTTATACTTAGAAATGATTTGTGAGTGTTTTTTGTCAAATTAAAATTTCTTGCCAAACTATTACAGTAATATTCCAACATACATTTAGCGAGATATTATTTTAATATATTCATGCATGTAAAATATATCTTAAAATATCATTGATTACGTAAAATAGTCTTACGATTTGCGACGTGGAAATACTGAATTATAATTCACATCGTTACCGCCGGCGCCGTGTCGCGAGACACTCCAGTCAGAATTTCTAGTTAAGTCTTTGATAATGAGAGAATATCTAGACCTAAGCTGTATTTCTCATAGTAGACGTACTATTATAAGCTAGGTATATACTAATATATAATATATAATGTAGCCAATGGTTTAGGAAAAAAGCTAGTTTTAAATGCAAGTACATCGGCGCAAAAAATAATAAAATTTCCTCCCAGGGTCATAATAGGCTCTGTTTGGGCTCTTTGTATTAAGATTGGAAAAAAATTATACAAAAGTAAAAAAAAATAATTCCCATAAAATTGGACGTATTTACTTATTACAATTATTTGTTCAACTGCACTGCCCGTTGCGGCCACTTTGCCCTTCAGTGCATATTACACGTGGTGTGCGGAAGTTTCCATTATATTAAGGGGTGTCTTACGTTCAGAGTATTATTTTCCCCTTTGGAATTCCTCAATAATAATGTATACCAAGTTTTGTTGAAAGACATTGTTGCCGTATTGAATATTAATTATTATTAATCGTTAACACGAACATACACATGGGCACACCCATCAATTTGTTTCATTTTTAATATTTCCGGCAATGGTTACAATTGTGAAACAATGTTACACCAATAATGAGAAAAATAATATTTTTGTATACAATAATAAATATATTATTTTAAGTTGGCAGCTCGCTTAAATCGTATGATAATTGTATTCCAGGAAATATGTTCACCAAAAGTGTAGGACATTTATACACTTTAAAATTGGTTTGAATCATTTTTCTTCTTCACTTAAAGTTAGTTTTAAGGAAAAGCTAGAAAAAGAAGTAAGAAAAATACGAATTATCGGGCCTCTTAGAGTTAGCGCAGGTTCTGCAAGCTCGAAAACTTGGGGTTGTAACAAGTGCCTGGGTACATACTCGTACTAGTATAACAAACCCAAGAAAAAGTTTTGTATGAATCCTTCCATATTTGCCAACCGGAGTAAATGCTCTGCCAGTAGCAGCGCCGGGTGCGTCCGAGTGGGTGACGAGCTCTGTGTGGGTGTTGCGCAGCTGTTCGACCGGGTGCGCGCGCAGCGGCCGGAGGCGCTGGGACGCCTGCAGACGGTGGTGTGCGACACGGCGCGGCCCGGCCTGGCGCTGGCGGAGGCGGACGCGCGCGTGCTGGCGGAGCGCGTGTCCGTGGTGTTCCACCTGGCGGCCAGCGTGCGCTTCGACGACCCGCTCATCACGGCCGTGCGAACCAACGCGTGCGCCACGCGCGACCTGCTGGAGCTCGCCACGCGCATGACCAAGCTTAAGGTAAGCCCACGCTCGCCCACGCTCGTTTCGCTCGCGAAGAGTGGACGCTCTTAGCTCCATCCGTAAAAGGAAACATTGCAATACTGCAACACATAGTGGGGATTTTTTGTGAGAAAAATAGCAATGTGGGACACTGATGTCAATTAGTGCGCTCGAGTCTCTACGGTGGCAGAATTTTCAACACTATTTTCAGTCGCTGTCTAAAAGAGAATTCTAGCATTCAGTTGCTCTGATCGGTAGCTTTCCGTGGTTTCTCCGATCAACATTTCGGCGAAAGCTAGAGCAGTTCCCTCACAAACGGGCCACGAACCGCGTGAGCAACTTTTCCTTCCTCTAACTTATCCTACACTTACATGCACTACATTACCACACATGCCTGGAGCTTACAGATTGTTCAGACTGAGGTGCTGTGTGAGACACCTGGTTTGGGAAAACACCGCTAGTGGACGTTTAGGTAGGCTCCAGATCTCGTAATCCAGCGGGAGAAGTTCACCGCCATACCCTGCAATAAAAAAATACGCTTACAGAACTAACGATCTTAGCAGTTGACACGCCCGGAGTCTCTAATCAATCATGTGTGGCAGGCGCTGGTGCACGTGTCGACCACCTTCTGCAACGTGGGGCAGCGCGAGTTTGAGGAGAAGCTGTACCCGGCGGCGGGCGACTGGCGCTCCATCCTGGCGCTGGTGGAGGCGCACGGCCAGAGCGACCCGGTGGCCCTGCGCGCTCTCACAACCAAGTGAGCACTGCCATCTTGGCTCGTTCTCTAGTGACAGGTAGCGGGCTATAGGAGAAACAATTACGCTTAAATAAACCACACAAAAGTAGTACGCACAATGCTCAGCGACAACAAATGAAATACTCTCATACTCCATTGCAATTATTTGAATAATTTAATGTGCATATGTGCCCTTGATGCATAAATAACGATTTTAAATTGTATAAAAAATATAAACCAAAGCTGTTTATATCATTATTGAAGTATATATTATTTTTCTTTTAAATGCCAGTATAGTCTCTAATTATATAGAACCAATTAAGGAACAGGCAATATTTTACTTTTGATTTAAATTTGTGTTTTGATTTTCATTTTTTTCTGTTATCCGGCAAAGTGGCAGTATCTGGCAATTGTACGTGGATTTCTTGTTGTGAACGGTTGATACAGATACCTGATGGATGTGATTTTCGTGACGTGTTGTAATTTTGGCAATAACAAATATAACATTAATAAAATTTTCATTAATAACATTCTTCATTGAGTCGTGGATCCTACCAATGACTAGCCTTTTTATTGGCTATTCAGTAATGTATTCATTCAATTCAGTTCTTTACAATTACAACACACATGGCAGAAATCATGAATGACGTGCTAGTACCAACATCTTACTACAATAAATCCACGTTTAATATTCATTAACCTTTCATGAGAATTGAAATGAGTGACAATGAAATTCATGAGAAATTGAATGAGAGTGTAAAAACAGTACTAGTCCAGAAATTTCATTTTTGGACAATTCAAGATATAACGTTTGATTAGATATGACAAAAAGCTATTGAGGTTTAAACAATTTTCTAATTTCAGAACTGCACCAAGCCATACGAATATCTTCTGAAGAATGATTGCAATAAAAACTTTATTAATAATGAGTTATATTTTGAACAAAAACTGTGGTCTTGTGCTGTTCTACATCTCAACGAAGATTTGTCATCCAAATTGCTTGCAAAATAACAATGTATCACAAAAAGACCACATTTTATTGTTGTAAGAGTGCACATAAGTAATATAACTTGGGGTCATGCAAATGTCAAGTTGAAACTTTAACTAGAGCTCATATATTATAACCATTTCCAGTTTTCGAGTGTTGGCTACCACGCTTTGTCAGTTCTTTATTACTTTTCCGTATACGCACGTATATACGGAGTAACGTACGTAATACAGGGAAAGTTATGTTTTGGTGCGGAAAACGGATTTCGAGATTTCAACGGAAATACACGCTTTGGGGTCCCCTGATGCCCCAAAAGTAGATTTTTACTACTGACACTAACGTAAGAATAGAAAGTATTGTAATCGTGCGCCGGAAAACGGCGAATTTTTGACACAAAAACTCTTATGGCCGGGCCCTGGTATCGAGGAAGTGGATAAATTCAGTTCCTAAATTTAGAAAAAATTCCTCTAATATGAGGTGTATCCAGAATCCATATTTTGTAGGTCCTTGATATCGAAAAATCGATTGACAGCAAAACGTCAGTTTGTCAATCTGTCCGTCCATCTATCCAGAACGCAGGCGCCAAATCGTTCAGCTTATTTTCTTCAAAATTGATATTCCCGAATCGCTAGTGTCGCAGACCCTACAATTTGAAATTGAAATTTTAATTCTGCGTGGTACTTTACATGCAGCTCTTTGGAAATACTCTAAAATTTCTTGCTTGGAAAGAATTTGACTTTAAATTGAAAAACGAAAACAATGCAAACTGAAAAACAGATCTTTTTATGGCAAAAAGGCGCTTGAGATGAGCTCATGTAGATAGAAATGCTATATTATTACATAATCGTCACTACGGGGCGAGAAAGTATTGTTATAGCACAACTTTCGAAACGTCCTACTGTGAACATTACTAGTACCTAAACCATTCATAAGATATTTTCCAAATTGAAAAAATTCCTGTCCATCAAGATCGAGTCGAAGCTTTGAGATTTTGAGAGAAAAAAAACATTAAAATTTGGAGGTGCTTTACGTGAAGGCCCCCTGACATTTTCTCAAAAATTGGCTCAAAATTTGTTCTTTAAATTTCGTGTAAGAATAAAGGAAAATACACTTATACAAGTGGCATAGGTCCGATTTTCAGGTTTAACTCTCAATTTTAGAAAATTTCAAATTTTTTCGAGCGTCTTCCTACAATTATAAAATAGAAGGTAGAGATTTTTCCTTCAATATTGCGAGCAATATGTGCAATTTTAAAAATTACAAAAACAAGATTTTCTCAAGAGCTCCAATTTTTTTCTTTAAACTTTTGGTAGGGATAGTGATAAAAGTACTCTAAAAGATAACATAAACGCCGCATTACAATATTTTTTGTTCTTTTTTTAAAGTATTTTTTGTACTTGTTTCTCACGTCGACAATTCTCTCTCGTAGCGGCGATCTCTCATAGCGGCAATTTGTTCACTTTTTTTATGAGTATATGTGCTTTAAATGTCCATAAAGTTTCTCGAAAACTTAAGCGATTTCTGTGAAATCGCTCAACATTCCGCATTTTCAGAAACACTCAAACGCCATTTTCCCCAAAACAGTTCCAAATTTCTTCTTCAAACTTTTCGAACGGATAGTGCTAAGTGCATTCTTTAATATAGTTACAGTTAATTTCAGTTATATTCATAATAATCAACAATTCAATATTAATAACAGTTAATTTCGGGATATTCTTTTTCTTCAAAAATTACACAATTGTAATTTTTTGAAAGATCCATAACGCCGTTAATATGCACATTTCCAGCCAATTGTAAACACTATTGTATTTGTGAGTTAATGTCCTTCAAATGAAGATTTTCGAAAACTAAACATTTTCTATGAAAAAGAGCTTCTAATTTCGAATTTACAGTAGCACTTTAACGCCAGGTTTTAAAAAACTACTCCAAATTTTTCAAAGAAAATTACCATTTAGGACGGGCTTTTACTGTTCTTTAATAATCTTAAAATATTTCTTTTCTACAATTCGGAAACCGAAAAATGAAGAAAAGTCACAAAAAATGTAATTTGGGCGGCGATTGATAGCAGCAGGCAAGAATACGTGCCAAGTTCGTTTAGCTAGCCGAGATCAAATGAAATAGAAGACGAATACGGGAAAGTCAGTGCTATTCTGTAACATCATTCTTCATTCAGCTACTTCAGTGGCGTAACATTAGGGCCGCAAGGCCCGCAATGCGGACGGGCCCGGGAAAGCGAGGGCCCGTTTTTAGGGGATATTTTTATTATTTACGGTAGCAACGCTACTTGTGTTTGCTGTAGACTTTTATAAAGGGGCCTGGGTTAAAGTTTTGCAAGTTGGCCCGCGCTTTAAACTTGCTTTTTTGCGCTCCCAAACATCGTTCTATAGTAAAAGAGCGGGGAAGGAATTTGAGAACTCAAGAACATTTGCGGAGATTGTACTTTTCCCTCATCCGATACATTCTGGTCATGACAAAAGTCAAATCAAAATTCAATCCACGTTTCTGTTATATAACGTTATATTATATATTTAATGAAATTTCACCCACTTTCGTTTTGTAACATTCATGAAAAATATAACATATGTTATAGTAATGACTCATTTGATCAGCTTGTAAGATTTTTATTACGACTTACTTGGTTCTACATGCATGCTTTCTAATACGTTATTTCTTTTTTATGGTCATAGGATTCTGGGCCCTCACTGCAACACGTACACATTCACAAAGAACTTGGCGGAGCACATCGTGAATCACTACTCGGACCGCCTGCCCGTGGGCATCGTGCGCCCTTCAGTGGGTAGGTGATGCGTCTTTTGCCTCAGATCTTTCTAACCACCTGCCCTTTAATATTTGTGGACGAATAACAATATCAGGGAGTTTTAGCACCAGGCAAAAGGTGATATCCTTAATCTCTATTGGTCACGTAACTGATGACGTTACGATCGTAATGAATAACGATCAGAAGAGCTTTAGCAAATTCTTTATTGCTTTATGGATAGTAAAAATGGGTTTCAAGTGTTCAGGGATTATATATAAGCTTGGCGGGGGCTCGCGGAGCGGTCTTCGTGAGGGGGAAATAGTAAAAGGAAATTTTAAGAGGTTTCTACTAGTACAATTTTAGTGTGGAAGAACTTGGATATTGACGTGGGGATGATTGATGGTGGTACATGGGTGAATAGATTTAGATTTATTAATAATTCTGCTATTAATTTTGAGTACTTGGTGGCAGAATACACTAACTTAACATTACAGAACTTAACAACTTTGCAAAATCTACAAACTTTACAAATTAATGTCAACATTTCACCTTGCAATCTTTCATGGCACTCCACTCCACCACACGCACTTCACAACGCCACTACATTGCACATAATTAATACAGGCAAACTGTTCCAGTCTCTAATAGTTTGATTCACGAATGAATATTTTCCAATGTCCGTTTTCTGAATTCTTGTCTGAATTTTGTGCATGTGATCCGCTCTTCCGAAATACGTAGGTTTCCCTAATCGACTTTGAATTTCTTTCCATTCTCGAAGGCCTGTGTACGCTTTATACATTGCATAGAGACGTGACTTTAATCTCCTCCTTTCGAGTGACACCCTTACCTTTAATTACTGGTACCCTGAAAGGTAAATTTTGATAGCTCTACACCTTGAACCTTTTCTAGATCCTTAATGGCAAAATTCTGTATGTGTCCCAACATACCGCGCCATCATTCTAATATGGGTCCACACTAAAGACATATCGATGCTAGTTCTTTGGCCTCTCCATGTACTCTTTTCAGTATCCGCATAACAAAATATACAGAATTTCCCAGGCTTCCTACAATGAAATTTAAACCTTGACTTTTCCCAGTTCAAATTTACTGTCTAGTTGTATTCCTAAGTATTTTGCAGACGTGACTCCCGAGGTATAACATCAATATTCAGTTTGTCCACGAGATTCATTGTAACTTCGACCCCTACCAAACGTGATGGACTTGCTCTTTGAACTGTTTATTTCCATGTTGTTTGTTTCTGCCCAGATGTGTAATTTGTCTCGCTGCAAAATATCCTCGCCCCTCTCCGAGTTGATAATCCTATAAATTACGCAGTCATCTGCAAAGAGTCGTACATTGAAAGCTAAATTAGTCGGTAATTCATTCACGAAGGCCAGAAACATGAGTGGTGTGATGACACTTCCTTGTGGAATTGCTTACGTTACGTTTCTCGAGGTTGATAAGCAACTTCCGTTTCGGACTTTCTGTTTCCTGTTCCGGAGTAGTTCGTTTATCCACGCTACCTCTCTAGTGTCTATACCAGAACCTATTAATTTCTCTATAAGACGATCGTGTGGAACAACATTAAAAGCTTTGAAAAAGTTTATTACTATCGCGTCGACCCTTTTCCCTTCATCAACTACGTCAGCTAGGTCCTGTAGAAGTGACACTAGCTGACTTTCCCATGAGAAACTATTTCCGCAACCGTGCTGACCCTCATAAAGCCACTCCCTGCCCTCCCATTCTTTCCTGATATAGCTTGAAATTAGATGTTCCATAAGTTTGCATACGACTGATGTAAGACCTACCGGCCTATAGTTATTAAGTTTTGTTTTGTCGCCACTTTTAAAAATAGGTACTACGAGAGCCAGCTTCCAATCTTCCGGAACGCAAGCGTTGTTTATTGATATATTAAATAACCCAATTAAATATGGTAAAATAGCCTCTCCACCTCTCTTCATTAATTTTTCCTCTCTTCATTAATTTTATTCTTTTCCGCAAAGTATTTACATCAATATGAAAACTACTTCTATCTGCCAGCGTTAGTATCTGAATACTGTTAAGTTTCTGCTTGAAAACCGAGCTGAAATATGCGTTAAAACCTGTGCTTTTCCCCTGTCGTCCGTTAAACGAAAAAGGAGAATAATATGTAATGGAATGGAATAGTATGTAAAAAGGGTAACCTGATTTTTATATTCCAATTTTTGCAGTAAATTCCCTATATTTTCATAATATTTTCTTCAAATACCTCAAATTTTTAATATTTATCTATTTTCACTCATTGACAGGCGCTGGGATCTGTTGAGATCCACCAAATTTGGAGATATTTTTATGAATCAATCGTTTATGGTGAAAGGACAAACCATTTTTTCTCCATTTATATTGAAATTATTCTTGAATTACACTATGTAGAAACTCTTATGTTACACTCCTTTTTTGAATACCAGCATTATAAGCGACCGTTGCAAGAAATCATTCATAAAAGGGTATTTTATGTCACAAATGATGACGTATTAGCTTTTTACCGCGCGAATGATTGCGTCATCACACAATCAGCCAATCGCAGCGAGAGAATCTCGGGAAAGTAACTGTACACGAAACAGCCGGGCCAAAGTTTTCTCGCAAAGATGTCAAATACCTGAGATGTCACAAGAAAGTTGTTTGGCAAAATTAAATTTGATTCTGATGTAAATTTATAATACTGTTGTACCGAAAAAAGCGTTTACATATCGTTTATAATGCTCCTTTATCGCAATCGTACAAAATTGAAAATTTGCTCCTGACGTCGCTCATCGTCCAAACGTGGAGGTAAAGCCCGCATTTTAAGGTTTTCAATTTTCTAAAAAATTACAATTAAATTTTCTTCCAATTGCACATTGATGTTTTAGAGTGGGAGCTTGTCTATATCTCGCAACAACCTCATTCATGTCTAATCATTGGTTGCTAAGAAATTTCGAATTTTCCAAAAGATGTTTTTGTGGAATTTTGCCCCGAAAATGGGGCATATCTTTGTCCCGATAGAGATTAAAGTGGTAAATGGCATTAACGAAACACCTGAAATAACACTATTCTACCAGCAATGGCGAAAATCATAAACATTATGAGGTCTCAGTCTCATCATTACCGTCGTTTTCCTCTTCACTTTCACTCAAGATTCTAACGGAAATTGTTCATTCCGACTATTTTTAGTGAATACATTTTTGGCTATCCGAGATGAGCCGCGTCTCAATCAATTGTGCTGAGGTTTCGGCCATCCTACTAGGCCTTCTTCAGAGCTATAAGGCATATCATATTGTAAAGAATAGTAATAATTAGTAATATTGATTTCAAAATTATTTTTTCAAGTAATTCGAGATAACTGTTGTTGTTGTTAGCCAACGCTCACCCTTGGCATAATAGGTAACTCAAATATCTGTAAACCATAAAATGACATTGTACATATAGGATTTTTTGTATTTTTCTGAAGTTACATAGCTTAAGAAGATTGATAATATGTAACCAGTACATTAATTTAAAAATTTTGAATAACTTATTTTTCCTTCTAGTAATGTCACTGCATCTAATATACCATCTGCGTTTTTGATACCCTTCGATACACCTATCATAGTAGACGTCCATTTAAATGAAATCGTAAAATTTCCTTTCCAAGTAATTTCTGTAAAATCTGTGAAAAAAATCGCCTAATAATATCAATGAATACAGAATGCCACCAACTTTTAATTGGAGTTTTGGGTTAGAACTAATATCAGCAATATTCAATGGAATTAGTTCACTTGTTGTAAAAGTACTTTTAGGAAAAGAGTTGATATAATACCACGATAATCTAATATAAATATAACTTTAACTCTTTTTTTAACACTAGTTGATAAAAATAAATAAGATACATAGTTCGCCGGCCACTTTAACATTTAATTTGCTTCCATGTACTGAATAACAGATCCAATTAACTTTCTCATATACGTGCGCATATATGGAGTATTATAACAAATGTAATATTTTAAAATGTTTCTTACGCCGTTAATATGCACATTTACAGTGATTTGTTAACTTTTATGCATTTGTTAGTGAAAGTGATACAAATGACTTCTATTAAGTTTTTCGTGAACTAAAACGTTGTCCGTGAAAAAGAGCTTCAAATTTCTCGTTTACAGTAAGGCCTTACCTGCACCTTAACGGCATTCTTAAAAACGGCGCAAAATTTATCAACGAAAATTTCCTTAGAAGACGAGGCTAGATTCTTCTTTGACTTTCTTAAAGTAATATTTTTGTTTTATTATGAAGCCGAAACATAAAAACAAAATTTTAAAAATGTCCTTTGGTCGGCGATAGGTGGCAGTTGACAAGAGGAGCGAGCGAAACCGAAAATCATTTTTTCGGTTTTTAGACACGAGCTATATAACCGGGTTCAATTCAGCTGCTGTCTGAGGGAGAATTCTAGCTGCTTTGATCGGTAGTTTTCTGTGGTTTCTCCGATCAATATGAGGTAAATGTCGCTATAGTACTGTAACAAACAGACCATGGACCGGATTTTTTCTACCTCTTCCTTGTTCTATCTTCTCCTTTTACACACACAATTATGTGCAGTACACCTCCACACATGTTGTGGGAACAGTCGGGGCCTTAGAGATCGTCCGTTAGGGTTTGTATCCTGCTGGGGGAGATACCAGAAGACGGAAACCCCTACATGCAGACTTCACGGTCGTTTGTTCTTCTAGTGTTCCAGAGAGGAGGATCACCGCCATCTCCCGATATAGAATAAGCACTACTCTGAAGGGTCAAATGACAACACCCCGGATACAATCAATTAATAAGAGATTCTGCATCTTCCTTACTGTCGTGTTCTTGTTGCAGTGGTGGCTACCGCCCTCGACCCGTTCCCCGGTTGGATCGACAACTTCAACGGACCCATGGGTTTGATGGTGGGCGCTGGGAAGGGAGTGGTGCACACAGGCTACAGCGATCCCGACGGATACATCGACTACATTCCCTGCGATGTCGTCGTCAAGGGAATTGTCATGTGCAGCTGCGAGGTCGCCAGGAAGGGGTGAGATTCCTTAGAATACCTAAGATGTTATTACATCGCATACTACTTATGTAGTGTGCAGAAAGTATTGTAAAGCTGCTGTAACAATGGCGAATTTCGACAGACAACCTGGAGCCCTGATATCAATAAAGCGAATAAATCCTGTTACCACATAAACAAAAAATTCCGTCATTTATCACGTTTAGTGGTCAGAATTCACGTTTTGTGAATCCTTGGCATCGAAAAATAGAATAACGGTAAAATGTCTGTCTCCGTTTGTTCGTTCGTCTGTGATCAACATTGGCACCTAAAGCGTTCAGGCAATTTTTTCTAAACTTGATATTCTCGAATCGATATGAACTCAAGGCCTGCGAGTTTGAAACGGATATTTTTATTTTAGAGGATTCTTTACATAGAGCCTCAACGTTATCAACATTCTCTATAAAATGGCTCCAATTTTTCTTTCTCGCCACCGCTTACGCAGTAGATAGAAAGTTATGTAATCAGTTGCTGAGTTTAGAACAAAATCCTGTAACACTGATGTAGCCAGAAGCCACGATTTTGTGGGTCCTTGATACCGAAAAATCGATTGACGGCAAAACGTGTCTCCGTCCGTGAACAACACCAGCATCTAAACAATTTAGCCGATTTGTTCCAAAATTGATATTTCCCCATCAATGTGGCTGATGTGGCGGCCCCTTGAATTTGAAAACGAAATTTAATTTACTATATATTAAGTCTGTGGGCATTTTCAAAATTTTCGAAAATATGGCTTTCATATTTTTTTTATTAAAGTGTGTTATTGGATAGTGTGACATTCAATAACACAGTTTCCAGGAATATTTAAGGGAATGGTGCAGGTCTCGCTTTCGTTAAAAGCTATGGTTTTTCGAAAATTGCAAAATTCAAAATTTTTTCGGCGTCTTCCAACAACTAAAATATTCAAGATAAAGGTTTTTTTAAATTGTGTTCTGAGACGCGTCGCATCCAATGGTTCTTTACAAATCATGGAAGGACATCATTTACCCTCCCCGAAGCACGCTCCGTGCCACCCTGCAGTTCCAATCCAAGGAGAATGTCAGCAATAGACGAGGGCTTCCCAGCGCGCATAGAATTACATTAGCAACCGTGGAGACCCATGCGCACAAAAGCAATCATGACCCACTTCCGAGACACTCATGCGCAGGGGACAAAGAAAGAACGCGACGAACAGCCAATTAAACGCTAGAAATTGGTGGAACGTTATAGCAGCTAGGCCACTTGAAGCGTCAGCAGCAAATTCGGAGAGAAGGTGTCGACGTGAGTTCTGCATTGCGTAAATGCTAAAATTCAATTGGGCGAGAGACAAAATTAAATGGGAACGGGATTTTGCACACAAAAGCAGACTTACGAGGTGGGAGCTCGACGCTAAGAGCTACAGACAGAATTTAGATATCGAGTAGGAGAGACAAAAATTACTTCATCGAGTAGAGCAGACGAGTGAACGACTTCGGGTAGGAATGACGTACCAGTAACTTTGGGTGAAACAAACGCAGTATTGATTTCGAGAAAAGTAGGCGAAATTGACTTGCATCATATAAGAAAAAATTTATAATAAATATGTATAAACGAGAGTGCAGAGAGACTGTAATCTTCACGTCACTAATTCAACGTGACTGGCACGTTTTTGCCGCCAAATGACGCAAATATTACGTCATCATTATCACGCGAACCTCGAGGCTGACACTGAAAGACCATCCGATCGTCCCTTCACAGTCCAGGGTACCTGGCCGCTCGTTAGCGCTGGCCAGACGCCGACAGATGTAAACATGTCAGGACTGATTTGTTAGAGACTTATGAACAGTCAAGAAAGAAGATAATCGTAATGCATGTGAATTGTAATTTGATGTCATGTAATTTAAAAGTCTAGTGAAACATTGTAGAAATTCAGGTTGTAGATTGTTATAGATTTGGGAAGAGATTGCTACTTTTGATTGCAAGATAATTAATTTGTTATCCCGTTATGAACTAACGGATTGAGGCACCCACCTGCGGTGAACTGAGAGGGAAGTTTAATTTATACGGAACGTATCGATCAATCATTTTTCGGTGAAATTATTCATGAATCAATGGTATCCCCAACAGAGACGCCTTAGATAATTTAGGTGATAATTAGGCGAGGATAGAAGACACCACGGGACTTCATTTTACTTCAACACGGGATCATCCGAGAAGCTAACAAGAGCGTGTGAAGAAATTGCGTAAGCAATAGAAAACTATGTGTATTTGACCAATGGATAAGAAGCTCGAGTAACTAATAAGACAATTTAATTGAAATTGCATACGAGACGGTCACTATCAGAGTTAATATGTATTTAGATAAAACGAGCTCATGCTTTAATGTTTCTCACTTTGATAGATGAATAAATGTTATATTTCTTTAAAGCTAATCAATTGGTAGGGAGTTGCTAACAATCAAAACAATTCTTATTTAGGTAAAAGTTTCATAAATCTCCGTACATTCGAATGTATATATAGTAAACAGGAAGCAAACTTTAAAATAAGCTCTTACGGCAATTTTAACCACATTTTGCCTAATAAACTCCTTGGATATTCCGAATGGCTCAGCCGCAAGCAGTACTCGAAAGTTGATTTAAAAAAATGCTTTCTACGCAAAAATTTGCCTTGCAGAAACCTGTAAATACTCTAGAAACATGTAAATTGTTTATTATTTACAAAAGAATTGAATATATTTCTTCAGAAAGATAAAAATAAAACATAAATAAGAAAAAAAACAGTCAAATTGTGTAAATTATGTGCTTTTTATTTCTGTGTAAAATTTGTTTTCTTTCTTAACAAATATATTCATAATCAATCCATCAACCTGGCAATTGCGCTCTGAGTGAAGGGTGTGCGGTGTGGCTGCGCAGGGTGGGGCCGCCGCTCGTGTACAACGCCGCGCAGTCGGAGATGCAGCGCATCACCCAGGGCCGCGTCCTCGACATCGCGTACGAAGCCGACGCCGAGCTGCCCTTCTCGGACACCCTGTACCACCCGTGCGGCGGCGTGACCAGCAACCGCCTGCTCTTCCTCGTGCAGTTCTTCTTCTTCCATCTGGTGCCAGCGGTGATCGGCGACGCTCTGCGTTCCGGCTACGGTCCGCAAAAACCCATTGAGTGCGCACTTAGTTATCCCAGCGTCGGCATGCCAAGGCATTCCTACGTGAGCTTTACCAACTCACGGGCCGACCAGCGCCCGAACAGGCCGCCGTCGCGCGCCGTTATCCGACTGGCTACAACGCGGTCAACATTCCCACGACGTTACCTTCCTTTCCCAAAAAGGCGTAGACAGAATCCCCATCCGTTTTCCTCCGTAGTGTAAGTATTGATTTCTACGTTCAGCGTGGTCTGCTTCGTATTATACTGGTAGGATACAATCGATAACCTTCTGTTTTCGAGGAACATTTGCACGTTTCTTTAGAGTACTATGAACGTTGAAAACATCGTTTAAAAGTTTGTAAAAACTAAAATTCAAACTTCCTATCACGAGGACTTTCTTACTTTGTTGACCTCACATGATGGTGCGAGAACATGTTTAGACTAATTATTAATAGAAACTTAATAAAAATGTTTACTCTTTGCGAAACATCGCATGAACAGAGCAGCTATGCCTTCTCAGGCAACAAACACTAAAAGATAATTATCGATTTGGGTGGCTCAAGGTACCAACGGGTGTCACTGCGGTGCCTCAGGCAGGGAGGGTTCTAGTCTCGACTACGGCAGGGTTGTCAACGCGTAACTGACTAATTCAACCCCTGCCCGGAGGAGAATTCTAGTATCCAGAGGTTATGATCCAATAAAAGAATTACAGGACAACAAAAAACTGGTATCTTTCTCTTTAATATTGCATTGATTGAGTTCACTTCCATGTGCATTGTATTTTAATTTCTTTGAATTCACGTTAATTAATTGCTCGTAAAATTACCATCAATTTCTGTGTGAACATAAATAATGGCACTGGCTTCTGATTGTTATTATTTAAACCAACTAAATTTTATACAAATTATGTGTAACATGACATTACACTCTCTAGTAATTATTGTTAAGCTGAATAACATGAATTAAGTTATGACAGAGGTTATGAATTAAGTAATGACAGAGGTTATGATCGGTAGTTTCCTGTGCTTTCTCCGATTAACACAAGGCGAATGACAGAGCAGTACTCTAACAAACGGCGCCCGATCTTTCCTTCCTCCTCATTGTCCTATCCTTGCCCCTTTTGTACACACACTTCCACTTACAGGCACTACACTACCACAAAAATGACGGGAGACCAGTCGGGAGTTAGTTTCTCTGGGCTGGGGCGATGCCCTGTTAGTGGGAGAGCGCCGGAACTTGCCATTCAGCAAGGTTCTCGCCATTCCACAAGATCATCGCCACCTGTCGCAACAAACACACACACACTACACTTACGGGAATAATCAGTTGACGGACCCCCTTATCAATTGACGGGGCGAAATAACTAATAGGTCAAGCAATCAATTTGAAAGTGGATTAGCTGGGAAGTGGGGGAAAGGAAGACAGACCGCGAGATGCAGTCGAGCGATTTCTCGCGTGCCCTTCGACTTCTTGCATTCCTTTCTCTTCAACTTCTTATTCCACTTCTTGATCCTCTTTTGATTAGTCTCTACCCAAGTTGATGAATGTTTAGCGTACTCATATGCCCAAGACGGTGTGACAAAAATATGCATGGGAAGGCTAAAATGCAATTTTCATTTAATGGAATGAAAATTCTTAACTCTTAATTGAATGAGTACAAAGTACTCTTGAAAAACAGATATGATACTAGAAACTTCTAAAAAGTAGCTAGTCATTCTTTTTAAGATTTTTATTTTCGAGTAAGCAATAGTTGTAATTCTATAACGAATTAAGTTTGTCGAAAACTCAAAACGATTTTGGTGAAAACGTTTGAGCCTGTTTCAGAATCGCTCAATTTTCTTTCCCCAAAAAGGCTTCAAATTTTAAAACATAAATTTACTCGTTTATAATATCTTTCTTCTATAATATTATTCACGTCACAAGAAACCACGAGGATATTTCAAATGGTTGAGACGCAATATTCACTCAAAAGTTGGTGTGAAAAATTGCTTTTAGAAAAAAGCTTTTACGAGCGTTTTCTTACATTCTTAGTAAACTTAGTGTACATTAGTGTTTAAGTTTATAAATACAAATAGTACAAAACCAATTTTCCAGGATATTAATTTCAAAAACAATTCTATACATTAAAATTTTTAAATTCGATATTATATAAGACTATTTTACACGTAAAATAATTATTAGTTTTAAAATGACACTAATATATCTTTTTTAATTTAAAATGTTTATTGACAACTGTCACTTATGTCAAATCACCGATATTTATTTCGAAATAAATATTATCTCTCCTTACGGAAATTGAAGACAACATTTAAGATTTAGTAGAAATTAGTTTGACAATATTAAAGTATTAAAAAATGTGACTATTGTCAGTAAGTAAAAATGGTTCATATAATTTTTAAGGCGAAACTATACTACATTTGTGTTTAAATATAAAAAACGGAAAAAAGAGTTATTTATCAAAATATGAATTTCTATTGACAACTTTTTTGACAGCTGTCATGAGTTCAAACTCGTTTTTGACATCATATTCTGATTTTGCGGTATTAAAAAATTTAATTAAGACTATTTTCCGAATTGAGAAATTGAAAATAACTAAAAATTCGATTGAAAATTTCATTGACAAGTTATTTGACAGTTGTTATTTAGTGAAAGCCCGTTAATATTTTTTATGACAAAACTTTACTTGATTTGTGTTAAAGTATAAAAATCTTAAAACTTTGAATTATCAAAAATGAATTTTTATTGACAGCTTGTTTTGACAGCCGTTTTGAGTCAAAACTGGTTTTTTGACATATTTCAATTCAGCGGTATCAAATAAAAGAATTACAGGACAACAAAAAACTGGTATCTTTCTCTTTAATATTGCATTGAATATTGATTCACTTCTATGTGCATGTATTTTAATTTCTTTGAATTCACGTTAATTAAATTGCTCGTAAAATTACCTGAATTTCTGTTGAACCTAAATAATGACACTGGCTTCTGATTGTATTATTTAAACAAACTAAATTTTATACAAATTATGTGTAACATGACATTACACTCTCTAGTAATTATTGTTAAGCTGAATAACATGAATTAAGTACATAAATTTCTCACAGTTCTGCTGACAGAAAAATATTTAAAATGGTCAGAATCTTTTGCTTTTACTAACTCTTCTGCTGCTTTAATTTCCCCGAGAAACTTTCCCTTTATTCACAAGATCCCTTTCGATTGCGTGGCGTTGACCTCTCTTTCAGCGCTTTCTGAACCGCACGTCGTTACCATACGCTTCGCAGCGCTTCGCTCGCACCGAGACCCGACCTTGCCCCGCGTCCGCTACGCAGCCGGCAGCTGCTCGACTGCGTACAAAGCCGCCCTCTGCTTCAACGTGTCGTCGCCTCCTACTCACGACGCCTTTCGCGTTGCCTTCCGTCTTCTCTCTTGTACGACACCTACCGTCCTCGTCTGCTTCTTTCGTGCCCGTTGTCGCCTCGTTGACGCCCGCGTGCGAATGTTCCTTGCCGGACGCAAATTATTAAAAAGATGCACATTTGCTTAGTTGAGGCGTACGTGCAACACTCAATTACACGGTTTTAATTAATGCAAGTGAGTGACGGTAACTATTTATTCACGGCACAAGAATACTGTGCTATTTCGTTGCCTACTGAATTACTTTGAATAATTTTAAACTGTACTAATTTCTCACGTCTTCTTCCGACGAAAAACTCCCTTTTTGCTTTATTTCATCTTAAGTTCTTCATGAATTTCTAACTACACATCTTTCTGGTGTTCAAAACTTCTACTTAATCTCACTGGCTACACAATTACTATATCGCCACTCGACCATTCTATTTAGATGTTGCTGCGTGGGCGGCGATCGGAATAAGAAGGAAGGATGGTCAGCGAATCGCCGTTCTTAAGCGGCCGCCCTCCTCGTAGGGGTTGAGGCGCGACATATCCCGTTTTGCCATATACACGTCACGTCGTCTGCGCAGTGCCGCGGACATCGCTTGCAACTGCATTGCAGGTGGCGGAGCCGCGCCTTTTTTTGCTACCGCCGCGCTCGCTCGCACTTCCACCGCCATCGTTTCGTATGTCGTGTGGGCGTGTGGAATGAACGTGAAAACCCGAGTTATCTCTCACTCTCAATCTCACACTCACTCACTCTCTGTCTCTCTCCTCTCTCCCCTCTCTCTCCTCTCTCTCCTCTCTCTCCTCTCTCTCCCCCCTCTCTCTCCTCTCTCTCCTCTCTCTCCTCTCTCTCCTCTCTCTCTCTCTCTCTCTCTCTCTCTCATGTCGTTAGTATTTACATTACCGGCGGCTTGTACACATTATGGAATTTCTGAATACAAGTGCTTTGTAAGATGTCAAATAAAGTTTCTCGAAAACAAAAAAAATATTTGAAAATGAGCTGGAAGTTACGCATTTTTAGAAACACTTGAACACAATTTTTGTGAAAACAGCTCAATTTTGGCTATAGTTTTTTGCACAGCTAGTGTTAAGGGATCTGAGTAACACGACATACATGCCACTTTGTTGCATTCTTTTGTTTTTCCTTAAATTTAAACATTTATATTTTCTAGATATCTTTCATATGAACATTACGGGGCAATTCTTTTACATTATCCCATTTATGAGTACAATTGCATAAAATAATATCTGATGAAGTTTCTCTAAAACGTGGTAAAATTGAGCTTCAAGATACTCAAACATTTTCTTAGAAACTTGCTTAGAAGTATGAAAATTTTCCAAAGAAAATGAGCATATTTTACTCTTCTATAACATAAAGGTTATATTTTAATTATACTTTTAGGGTTCCTAAAAATTGAAAAAACGTGAAAAAATTTAGACGCCTGTAATCGACGGCTGAGAAGTGTGGGAGAAAACCGAAAAGATAGAACAGATTGAGGAGATAAGGAAACTAGCTAGGAAGAGAAAGTCTGTTTACTTCTGTGGCACCACTAGTTTTAAATATTTTTAATATTGCTCATATTTCACTCAAAGTTGCATAAAAACTACTATTTTGTTTTGAATTTCATGACATTAATTAAAGGACTAATTTTTAAGAACAAATTTCATTTGAAAGAAAAAATCGCATCATTCAAAGTTATAGTTTTAGGAAGATGCGGAAAAAGTAATTTTTTTCTAATTTTCAAAAATTCAGAGATAACAGGGGGTGCTACGCTATATTTAAGGCATATGTATTTCACTCTATTTCTACAAGAAATGTAAAGAAACAATTTGGAAACATTTTTTAGTAAAGTTTGAAAATGTCCCGGGAGTTCATATAAAGTACCCCCAAAATTTAAGAAATATTTATCAAAATAGAAGATATTTCAGGGACGTCAGAATATTGAAAGTAGTTTTAATAAAACAAAAAAACAAACAAATGTTTTGATATCAGCGCATTCCGAACCGTGTATTTCTATTGATATCTTGAAATCTACTTTATCTACGCGAGAAAGTAACTAGTGGTACTAGGGGAAGGCTCAGAGTTTCTCGAACTAGTATTCTAATCTCTGTAGTCTGGGATAACATTGAGGTTTTACCTCTTCTCATCTACCATCTATTGCCGCTTGAATGTCCTATATACACTTTTTCACATTATGTCAGTTTTTTGGTTACCTAATTGTAGAACTGAAATTCGTTTGAATTAAATAACATTATAAAAGAGTAATACGAATATTTCGTTGAAAATGTCTAGGCGTTTTTGAGAAATTGGCATTCGAGCGTTTTTGAAAATGCGTAAACTTGAGTTGATTTTCACAAAAAAGCTATTCAGATGTCGTTAAATGTGTTGGAAATAATTTGAAGCACTTTTACTCACAAATGAAATAATATATAAAACGCCCGTGATATAAATATTAATGACTGAATATATATTAAAAAAACTACATTTGTGAAATTTTGAAAAAGTAAATGAAAACGGCGATAATGTTATTTTCTAGCTGTAAACCAGTTCTGTCTTGGAACTATTATTGTGTCTCTTGTAGCCCCTGGGTTTACTTATCTATTACCTTATATATAGTATAGTATATATTATATAATATATATATATATATATATATATATATATATATTATAATTATAATATAGTAGAGTTCTAATTATATGTGCACTCGAGTGGGTTGGTCTATTGGCTTGTTCCTTCATCCGCCTGAGATTCGTCATAAAGTCTTCCTGATGCAAACGAGATGGATGCATTTCTAAATTGAGGGCCGTCTCTCCCCACTATCCCAGTCCACGGTGCCGCACTGGTTCGCAGTTGATTCGCTGGCAGCGCCGAATCTACTCGGCCAACATTGGCACCTTTCCTGGTTCCTCCTGCAAAAACTGAACTTGTTGAACAACGCTTCCTGATTTGGAGAATAATCTGCGGCCAGGGACGTGAGGATTTTCCTGACCAAGTGGAGAGCATCGAAACCTGAGACCTTCTTCAGGACGCGCTGCACGGCACGCGCCGCTACCTCATGAAGGAACCCGACGACAATATACCTCAAGCCATTCGCGCTATAAGAGGGACGCCTCTGAAGGCATGAATGAAACGATGGCCGAACGAATGAAATGAATAATGAAGAATTGAAGGGATAAAGAATGAAAACTGATATAGTTGAAATTGTATTATGACATGAATTATGAAAAGAATCATGGATAACTACCCTCCCTAGGACAGCTCCTCAATTAACTCCTCAGGCTGCCGACATCACGCTGAAGCCCATATCAGTGCTTGCTCATTGGTAAGTGCTGAGTATCAGTAAAAACAAGCACAGGCAATTCTCACAGATTCTTACACTAAGGGCCAGGACAAGAGGTTATGGTAAACAGTAGTATTCCTGTCAAAGATGCGAACGAAATTTAAACTCTCACATACGATAAGAAAGCAATATCTTCTTCAAAATATAGTGTAGCCGCGAATTTCCTTTGAGAAGTTTCATGTAAAAAAACTTTTAATATGGAGGAGAAGAAATGTTTACGATATTCCATGATTTAATGTCCTACAGATGCAACACAAATGGACAAAACGGGCAAAACAGGTCTGTTCTGTTCTTAATTTAAGTCACATGTAAACTTCGTTAAAAAAATTGGTTACTATATACCCGTTCTGTTGTTTTTGCGTTGATAAGAAGAAGGAAAAGGAATCGATTTCATAAATAAACGCAATTGGTTGATATATTTATAAAAAAATATTTCTTATTAGTAAATTGTTTTGCACAATTGTTACTTAATTTCATTATCTTTTGCCAGGGTAAACAGTTACAATACTTACGAGACGGAGGAATCATGAAAAAAGGGACAAAACTAAGTTTATATTTTTCATAGCCAATATCTTAACGATATCCTGGGATATAAATTGTTTATATACTTCAAACTGTTAACATCTATTTTCTAGTCATGATTTGTTGGTCTTCTTAAAGCTATGTTAAACTTCAGAAAAAAATAGTAATCGATAGAAGAGTTCCGCTTATCACCTGGTAAAATACTTAACCGCTACCACACTAGACTAACATAGCTTCACATTTTTATTATATAGATTTACCAAAATAAGTTACCCTATAATACAAAAGTAAATTATAATATACAATTTAGTTCAATGGTTTGTAATCTACATGCATGTCCGTACATTTTAATATAAATTAATGTAACACTATCTAACGCTGGTGTCTTCTCGTTTCTTCACCCTGTTTGACGCTCGATTTTGGGGACTAAAAAGACAATCATATTATCTAGCTAGTTAACGTAAATTACCAATTAAAGTTGCTTTTTACTTAATTTTAAAAATTGACTAATAAATTTTTGTTGAAGATCGAAGGTTTATCTGAGAGTAGTCATAATTAACATGTAACTTTACATTGTTACTTCCAGAACATGGCCTTTTTGTAAGTTCTAGTGTATGACTTCTATCTGAAGTGGGAAGGCCAGTAGGAGAAATGTTCCGTTTGAAGGAAATCACGCTGAACAACAAATAAAAACTTATGCATCTGAATCGAAATTTAAAAAGTTAAATCTCTTGATTCTCACACAGTGAGTGTCACTCATTATTTATTTGTAACAAAATCTATAGACTGATTGGTTCATGAGATCGGGATAAGGCGAAGTAGCTCATTGTAGCCGTCTGTATTACAAAGCCAGCGAGCACCAAGCTTTAGCGCTAAGGTATTCACGATGTCAGGAGAAATGTCCCCGTATGCGATCACCCACATTGGACAAGCCAAGGACGTCCCTGCCGGTGACATACGCTAAAACATAGGGATCGTATCTCCCCGGTAAGTAATTGACAATGACAGATGAAACAGCGAATCCCCCTGCCCGATAGACATCCTTTGAAACGAACGAAGCTGTGTGAAAGTGGGGAATCAAAAAGGGACTTAAATGTATACGCACGGAC